TTTTTTGTTTTTTTACTGCATGACATGTTTATAAGTGCTATATGTTCATAACTGTGCTAATAAATATTGCATTTGTATAATTCTTTATTGCTAATTTGGGTTCTATATTCTTTTTCTAGCAAAAAATGGCCCCATTTATGATGTAGTTTGGAATTCTAGTTCAACTGAGTTTTGTGCTGTTTATGGTTTTATGCCTGCCAAAGCGACAGTTTTCAATTTGAAATGTGATCCTGTGTTTGACTTTGGAACTGGTCCTCGTAATGCAGCGTACTATAGCCCTCATGGACATATATTAGTATTAGCTGGATTTGGAAATCTGAGGGGACAAATGGAAGTGTGGGATGTAAAAAACTACAAACTTATTTCTAAACCAGTTGCTTCTGATTCTACATATTTTGCTTGGTGCCCAGATGGTGAGCATATTTTAACAGCCACGTGTGCTCCCAGGTTACGTGTTAATAATGGGTACAAGATTTGGCATTATACTGGTTCCATCTTGCACAAGTATGATGTGCCATCAAATTCAGAATTATGGCAGGTTTCTTGGCAGCCATTTTTGGATGGAATATTTCCAGCAAAAACAATAACTTACCAAGCAGTTCCAAGTGAATTACCCAGTGAAGAACCTAAAGTTGCAACAGCTTATAGACCCCCAGCTTTAAGAAATAAACCAATCACTAATTCCAAACTGGTAAGTAAGTTTTTACTACTTCAGTTTAGGAAAAGGTTTTACATTGTGCAGAGTCTTTTAGAGATCTTTTTCTCATGTCATTGTGTTACTGATTATAATATACTCTAGGGCAGAAGTCATTGAGGACCTACTGCGAAAGATGGTGAACAGCTTATATTGTTGACAAAGTAATTTTAAACAATTCGCATTTTAAAATTCCTGAGAATGATAACTGAGTATGACATATTGGCTTTGTAGACCAGGGGCTCAAATTCAAATGCCTGTCAGGCCAGGCCAGTAATGTAAGGCAATAGTAAGTGGGATAAAATGATGGGTGAGAGAGCCTGTGCCCTCTTCAAAGGCTATAACAGCTATCCAGTACTAACTGATTTTTTTTCCATAGGAGATATTAGGTCCAATTTGCCAAAAAGTTTGATTTCCAAGACAAAATGAGTCTGGATGCTTTTGTGAAAATTCTCAATTTTTAAAACACAGTTGGTCAAACAAAAACCCATTTTTTTATCCCCAGGCCATTAGTTCCCCACCTTTGTTGTAAGTTTATGACCAGAGTATGGGGCAGACTCTGATATGCTTTTAAAATGTTAGCTTTTCAGCCAGCCACCAAAAAAAATAAAATGTTAGCATTTTAGAGCTTAGGGGAGAGCATTTATTAATTGCCTGAGTTTCTGTGATGGTGTTAAGGGATAAAGGTGCCGTAAGAANCCATTTTTTTATCCCCAGGCCATTAGTTCCCCACCTTTGTTGTAAGTTTATGACCAGAGTATGGGGCAGACTCTGATATGCTTTTAAAATGTTAGCTTTTCAGCCAGCCACCAAAAAAAATAAAATGTTAGCATTTTAGAGCTTAGGGGAGAGCATTTATTAATTGCCTGAGTTTCTGTGATGGTGTTAAGGGATAAAGGTGCCGTAAGAAGGAAGAACAATATTATTGGTGATGTTATAAAGGTGACTCAAGAACAGCTATAAACTGAGACTATTCCAAGAGAAGGGGATGTATAGTCACTTAATAATTAGATACTTGGAGAAGCAGATATTTTTTCAAAGAATAAATATTCCTATGCCTCCCTTGTACCACTCCTCGCCCCCACAAAAACAAAAACATAATTACAGTCCTTCTGCCCAGATTAAACAAAATGTAGCAGTGGTTGGTAGTTTCTTAACTTCCAGTGAAATGTTCTGTTTAAACATTGTTGTTATATTAAATTATTGAATTAAAAATATATAAAAACAAATAACAAATTAAGTTCTGTGATATTTATTCGTATTTATCATATTTGTATTTAGATCAAAAAAGAAAGTATATAGTAGTCTTTGAATTTGTCCTATGCCTATATTGAAATTTTCTTTACTTAAGATAAAAACAGAAGTAACCACAATCCATACTGCTTTCTGAATCTCTCTGTAAGATGCACAAGAGGAAGAAATTCTGAATTAGTGTATTTTATTCTCTGATCCATAAAACTAGTTGGTTTGCTTTGGTGAGGGGGAGAAATTAATATAGAAAGATAATACAAGGGTACATATTATCTTTTAATTCTATTTTTATCATGAACTTTTTGAAGTATTCTTGTACTTTGAAAATGGTGATAAAATTAGGTAAGAACTTAAAATCAGAATTTTTTTAACAATTGACATCGCTGCTAAATTTTTGCTTTTTTATGTGACATGTTGATTATGTGATCCTTTCAAATCATTTTAGTTGAAGCAACTACATGTCCAGTAATGAGAAATTTTTATTTATATCTAATTCCAGAAATGAGCTAAATGGCAAAGAAAGCACTATCAGGAAATTACTAGAAACAAAAACAATGTAATAGATAACTTCTCAAAGGAGAAGTGTTACAGGGCAAGAGAGGAAAAGAGTGTTGGAGTTCTTCCCCTGAAGAAAAAAAAA